CTGCTTTATTTATAATCCCTTTGCTTCTGTCACCGACATCCCTTTTTACCGCTTTTCTTTATGCCTCCAAACCTCCCCTAACATGTATCTGCCCTCAGCTCCCGGGCCTTTCTGAAGTTTTGCAAAAACGTTCTCTTTTATTACTCACCTGTGACCACAAGCATCAGGAAAAGGGCAGGGGGAGAAAGATGTGTCCTGATTTTGGATTTTGGATTGTTAAAGTTGTTTAAGATTTGGGGCAAAAAAAAAATCATCATTAAAATAATTTTACAATATTATAAGGAATCTTACAGGAAATCATTGTTCACCTTGTAATCCAGCCCCTTAATCTTACCAGGACTTTCGGGTCTATGTTCCTTCCAACACATAGCCATACATCTCGTCTTATTATTTCCTCTGTTTTTCCCTGACGTTATCTCAGAAAAGCTACTTTTATGTAGACTTTATGAATTTAATAACTTCAAAACCTCTCCCTGACTGACCATGACATGTTTAACTTTCACCGATTAGATATGTAGATCATTTTTTAAAAAATTGTTTAATGTTTATTTATTTTTGAAATGGAAATAGAGCACGAGCTGGGGAGGGGCACAGAGAGAGAGGGAGACACAGAATCCGAAGCAGGCTCCAGGCTCCGAGCTGTCAGCACAGAGCCTGATGTGGGGCTTGAACTCACGAACCGTGAGATCGTGACCTGAGCTGAGGTCATACACTTAACCCACTGAGCCACCCAGGCACTCCTAGATATGTAGGTCATTTTAAGGGCTTTAGCTGTTCTCTTTGTATTTTATGTTGTTGAGCCATTTTGAGCTACAGCGTATTTCCCCTTTTGCAATGACTTCCACAGGAGAATTTCTGGGGACGGGACTCTACGTTGAAGGCTACGACTGCGGTCGCAGCTCCCACCGTGTGTCGCTACCTTGCTTTCCAAAATGGTGGCACCCGCTGGCAGTTCCACCCACAGGGGATGACTTGGCCAAGAACTCCATTTGAGATTTCACCGAGCAGAGACACCAATGTCCCTCTAAGTCAATGATCCGGCGACAGGACACGAGAACCTCCCTTCCTGTTCTCGGCCACATCAGCACCCCCCAAATCCCAGTTCTTCCAGAGGACCAGCTGCCAGAATTAATACACTCCTCTACCTGCAGAGAGTCTGAGGTCTCAGGAATCGAACATGCATCGCTCTTTCTCCCTTTCTATTCTCATCCGGCCAACAGAGACAGCTGGTCATCCTCTGAGGTTAGCCACCACCCCCAGGGTGAAGCCACAGAGGCTGGAGGGCTCAGGGGTGGCCCATTCCTGCAGCTACTTCTTTCCCTGCAACTCTGGGGCAGAGCTGTCTATAACCTCCATCCACAGCCCTGGTCCCGGTGGCCCACCCTCTCTCCCCAGGTTCTGCCACCTCCCGCCAGGATCTGTCTGCCTCCACAGGGTTGCCTATTCTGGATCTTTCATGTAAATGAAGTCACACGATATTTGGTCACCGCAACTGGCTTATTTCACTCACCATGATGTTTTCAAGATTCGGCCACATTGTGGCAGGTGTCAATATGCCATTTGTTTTTATTGGCAAATAGCTTTCCACTCTACGGGACGTACCACATTTTATCATCTGTTTGTCAATGGATTGATGTTTGGATTGTTTCTACTTCTTGGCTATCACGACTAATGCTGCTACGAACATCGTGCACAAGGTTTTGTATGGACATGCTTTCGTTTCTCTTGAGTATATGCCCAGAATTCCTAGGTCACATGGTGACTCTCTGTTTACGCTTTGGAGGAATCGCCAGCCTGAGTTTCAGAGTGGCCACAGCACAGTACGTTCCCAACCACAGGGTAGAAAGGTTGTGACTTCTCCGCATCCTCACTGACATTTATTATCATGTCTTTTTTTATTATAACCACCCTAGTGGATGGAATTTGGGGTGTGATCTGCCCTAAGGAGTAATGTCCTTGAGCATCTTTTTGGCCATTTGCATGTCTTCTTAGGAGAAATGATTGTGTAGATCTCTTGTCTCCTTTTAAATTGGGTACTTTGCCTTTCTATTTCTGAGTTGTAAGAGTTATTTATTTAAGTCCAACTCTCTTACCAAGTATGTGATTTGCGAAATGTTCTCCCATTCTGTGGTTGCTTTTTCACTTTCTTGATGATGTCCTTTGAAGCACAAACATGTTTAATTTGATAATGTCCAATTTATCGACTTTTTTTTTTTCTTTTATTGCTAGTGCTTTTGGTGTCATGTTTAAGAAGTCAGTCCCTAATCCCAGGTCAGGAAGATTTGCTCTGTGTTTTCTTCTAACCATTTTTAACTTTTACTTTGGAGTCTTTGATCTAGTCTGAGTTAATTATTGTATATGGCATGAGATTGGGGTCTCAGCGTGGGAGCCCATGCTTGCCTTGACATGGGGTCCCTCCCCCCATGCTGCGGGAGAAGCACAGCCCTTGCCACCCCAGAGCCAGCATCCCCAAGATGCAGGGCTTCCTTCCAGGGCCTGCTCTCTTGCCTACTACCAAGTCCTGATCTCTCTCCTGAGGCCCATCTCTTGAACGGACTGCCTTTTCCACCAGCCTCCCCTTTCTCTGATCCCTCCACTCCTCCTGTTTATTATTGAAAGTCTGGCCATAGAGATGGGTGCAGAACACACACAGTAACAACTTAAACCTGGATGCCAGCATCACAGCCCTGGAAATCCATCAGCCCTTCCCTGCACTGGGAAGGCCAACGTCTTACCTTTGACCCCGACTGCTCATCCCAGCCCACCGCCAATCCTTCTTCTTTCCCAACACTCTCTTCCTCACCCAACTCCCAGCCTCCAATCCCCAAATGCCTGTACCTGTCTTTTAAAGAACAGTGTGTTCCTCTAAACGACACCCCAAATTCTACCGGTAACCTTTGCTCCTATTTCCAAAGTCCACCCCCCACCCTGGGATTTTCTGTTCAGCAAAGAACCATGAATCACAACTTCACTTTTTAGCAGTCCAAAGTACCTGCCAAGGCTTTCACTCATACTTTTCCCTTTAAATGATCAAATCACTGGGTAGTTGATCCCACTGAATCTTTCTCTGCCCAAAATATGTTAGCAGCCGTTATTACATGTTAAAAATTTTTAAATCCTGCTCATCAAATTTATGTCCAATGGTCTTTGAATCATTTTGCCCTCGGTCCTCCTCTTCATGTGCATGTGGTTGATGAAACTTGGTTGCTCTCTTTCTCCAAAAGATCTCTAGTCATGCCATTTGTCTACCTTCCTAATTAACGTTGACAGTTCTTTGGGGTTTGTGGTGATTTTTTTCTTATATTCCATCCAAAGCATTGGTACACACCATCATTTCCACATGGAGAGTGTTGATTCTACAAAAATCATCAGTGAGGCTGTCACTGTTTTGAAATTCCTAGTCCTTTCACCTTTGAGCATGCGTTTGGCGAGTGAAGCTCATTGGGACAATGAAGCATCTACAGGTGAGCAAAGAGGTGCCGGCAATGTTTCCGCTTCCTGCCCCTTCCGTGTAGTGTTCCAAATATCACACAAGTTCCCAGCAGATCCCCAATGGTGGGAGTTTGGTGAGACTCCAAGCGGAATCACAAGGTAAGCACCCTGTGTCTACACTTGAGTGAGCTGCATGCTGATAGCCCCGAGAGGCCACGTTTTCCCTTGGAACCTGAACTTTCTGCAAATGTATAACGAAGGCAACGGTGTCCTAAGGGACATGAATGTCCAAGGAACTCGCTTGTGCTCTTTCTTACTCGTATTACGTGCGTGTGATCACGTAAATGTGCCGAAAATGTATGAGCTATGAAATACGGATTGTGTGATTTCTGTCATGCCACACAGGGGTTAAATGCACGTACATCTGAATTTAAAGGTTTTTTTTTTTTTTTTTTTTTAACGTTTATATATTTTTGAGACAGAGAGAGACAGAGCATGAACAGGGGAGGGGCAGAGAGAGAGGGAGACACAGAATCCGAAACAGGCTCCAGGCTCTGAGCTGTCAGCACAGAGCCCGACGCGGGGCTCGAACTCACGGACCGCGAGATCATGACCTGAGCCGAAGTCGGACGCTTAACCGACCTAGCCACCCAGGCGCCCCATGTACATCTGAATTTAAAAGCGGCAGTGCGCAATATAAAGATGGGTGGTGAGATTCATGCTAATAATTTATATTTTTAACTTTTATTTACTTCGAATTATGTTAAATAGCAAAAAAGCACTCTGGAAAGGTGAGATACACTGCAAAGGAAAAAGCTTTACCTTGTATTACCCTAAATGGCACTTCCCTCCCCCCACCCCATTTTTTGAACAAGGGTCCTGCATTTTCGGTTGCTGGGCCCTGAAGTGTGCAGCCAGTAACTTCGGCAGGACATAACGCACTTCCAGTGGTCTCGCGAAAGAACCTGGACGTGTGGAATGAAAACTACACACCACACGAAGCGCGTCCGCTGGCGAGGGACACTGGAGGACACCCGAGGCGGCGGTCTGGGGACGGACCTCCGAGGCCAGACCTCCACGCCCGGTGAGCGGCCCAGCCACGCCGGGTCCTGGGCAGAAGCCCACACCCGACCGGTTTCAGCGCACGCGAGTCTGGGGGTGCAGGAGGGGCGGAAACTGGCCAGCTGCCCCGCGGAGGGGAGCCGCCCGATCGGCCTTCCTGCCCGGAATCCCCAGGCGCGGCTGGCGCCTCGAAGTACGCATGCGCGTCAGGCCCCGCGGAGACGCCGAGCGGTCCCCGAACCTGCGCGCACCCCTCCCCTCCCGGTCTGGCCGCGCGCTCGGGAAGCTGCTTCGCCGGGCCGGTCCTCCAGAGCAGCGAGAGCGCCGGCCAGGCAGGCCTGGCACCCCGCCGCAGCAGCGTGGCTGTGCCTGCCGAACCGACGGCGCACCTGCGCCTGGGCGCTCGGCGGCGTCGGCGGCTCGGTACGTCATCGCGGGCGCGACGGCCCGACGGACTGTCTGGGGTCTGCTTTCGGGAAGGTGCCGCGGCGGGACCTGCCGGGAAGATGCCAGTGGCGGTGATGGCGGACAGTGCCTTTAGTTTCAAAAAGTTGCTGGATCAGTGCGAGAACCAGGAGCTCGAGGTAGCCGATCGCGTCGCGCTGGGAGAAGCCGCGGGGTGTTCCGCGGCCCCGGGGCGGTGCCGGTCTCCAGGGTAACGGGGCCCGCGGGGCTCGCGGCGGGCGTGGGAGCCGCGCGTGGGGAGCTCGGGACGCCGGGGCCTGCTCCGAAGGCTGCGTCTCCCCGAACGGGTCCCCGTCTCCCCGAACGCGTCCCCGTCTCCCCGAACGCGCCCGGAGCTTGTGGTGGTTCGTCTTCAGCTAGTGAGCCCGTGAACCCTGTGCATCTTCGCTCCTGACACCCTTCAGGATTCTTCTTGTGTGAACGGGACCAGGCATCTTTCCTGCCCGGGTTGGGGGAGGCGAGGGAGTGTGGATTTCATTAAAGACATTTGTGCAAGCATACACAGACCAAAGAAGAAGTAACGTTTTATTAACTCAGAAAGCCCTTAGTCTCATAACGTTATTACCTAAGTTGACTGTTCTGCCTTCAGTAGGATTGTTGGAAGTTCGGTCATGCAGATGTTAAAGTTCATTGAGCCCCCACCCCCCGGTCACTGAAAAAGCATGTATCACATCAGAATAAAAAGTTAACTAACCAAAGGATACAACAGCCAGAAGCAGCAGCTCACTAGTAGACACTTAATATGTGTTTGCTGAATGCATTAAATTTGAAGGCAGAGAGGAATGTCTTTGTAGCTCAGCTGTGATTTTTTTGTTGTTATCACTCATCACGTAGCCGTTCAACGTGTTTGATACAATGGGTGGTGGAATCCTAGTGCTTTAGGGTTCTCTTGGAATTGGAAACGTTTGTTTCTTTTAAGAGTAACACCATATAAGAATTTGAGAAAGAACTGGGAAAGGGATCCCGTTTCAAACACAGAGGCTCAGAAGGAGATAAATCACAGCTGATGGCAGATCTAAAGCTAACACTGGTTTTTAGTGTTCCGTACCTTCTCTAAAGCTCTTTCTATGTCTGTAGTACTAAGTATCAAAAAATAGGCTTACTTTTTAGGTTACTGTTAATAAAATACTTTTTTTAAAAAAGTGTAAGTGTAACTAAGCTTTTCCATTGTTGGCCTTTTAGGCTCCTGGAGGAATTGCTACACCCCCAGTGTATGGTCAGCTCTTGGCTTTATATCTGCTCCATAATGACATGTAAGTACCTTCTACCTGAAGCTAAGAGCAGCCGCGTCCCCAGGAGTTACAGAAATTATTCTTGCGTTGAAGAAGCATCATTAAAACAAGGCGCAAGGAGCTTTATCTTTAATTGTATTACTTAATACACTTATTTCACATAATGAATCATGATTTAAACTATGATTAGGCCGAGTTGTTTTAAAATATACTTGTTTTACAAGTGCGTATATTCTCAGCACCTGGGTGGCTCAGTCGATTGTGTGTCTGACTTCAGCTCAGGTCATGATCTCATGACTCATAGGTTCGAGCCCCGCATCGGGCTCTGTGCTGACAGCTCGGAGCCTGGAGCCTGCTTCCAATTCCGTGTCTCCCTCTCTCTCTCTCTGCTCCACCCTGGCTCATGCTCTGTCTCTCTCTCTCTCAAAAAAAAAGTTAAAAAAAATATACATATATTCTCTAAAAAACATTCTAATTTGTTATGAGGAACTACAGTGTCTGTAAATTCCTTTAATTCTGTTGTCCTTTTTCGTCTTTAATAAAACTTTCTTAAGATCTCTGTTTACTTCATTTTGCACGTCACCCATAGACCAAGAGAAACCAAAAGGGAAGATTGAGAAAGCCAAGAGGTTTCTTGAAAGGTGTCCTTTTTTCGTTATTCTTAATTCATGTTTATCGAAGAAAAGTCGGAAAGCATAGCGTACAGGAGTCCCTTCTAGTGCTACGAGCCATTGATGATTTCTATTTAAGTGTTGTTTTAAATTCTATTAAAGCTGATTTCGTATCTCTTAGAAAACTCACCTGAGATTTCTATGACCCATATACTGTGTAACTGTCGGTTTCACTTTGTAATCCTGTCATCATACGTGTGTTGTGGTTCAGGTTTCCACACTCTTAAAAACCACCTCGAAGTCTTGGTGGCTCTGTGCCCACTGGTGAGAGGAGGGCTCGTGGGGAGCACCGTGCACCGTGTTCGTTGTCAGGACGTTCCAGAGCCTTGAAAGTATAGATACTTGTTTATTTTTGTGTGTGTATACCTTATCTACTTAAGTGTTCGTGTGTTTGGTGCACGTTGCCTTAATTTGAGACCCAGCTCGTTCATAAAAAATGCACCAAAAATGGCAGAATGTTACTTTGGTAAAAATATTTCATTTCTTTTTTGCCTGGAAAGCTGCTCTTCCTTCCCCTGGACAAATTTATATAAAAGTCAATTTCATTGTATCTAATACAGAGTACTTTTAAGTCTATTTCTGTGTGTTTGCAGTGAAATCTAGAATATTGAACATTTATTGAGATCATTCTTTTTGTTCTTTCTTGGGGGGATGTAAATTAGGAATAATGCAAGATATCTTTGGAAAAGGATACCACCTGCTATAAAATCGGTAAGTATTCTTTAGTATATGCTACTATTTGAATGTGGTAACATTCATTTAAATGGCAACCTTTTAAAGTTTTTAAGGTTTCTGTTTTCTTTCCTGTGTGGTTCACAGGAGTAGTTACTAAACTGGTATTAAAGTTTAAGAACAGATCTATAAAGTTCTCTAATCAGAAATTTTAATTTCCCTTGGATGGTATAGAAACCTGTACTTAGCTTCTGATCACATTTATTGAGACACTTCTTATAAGTGTCACTTTGCCTGGCAAACAGCTGAGACATTTTAGATAAAGGTTTGGTTTGGATTTTTTTTTTCCCTTTTGTAACTGATTTATGCAGTTTCCCGTGATGGTATTTCTTTGAAATTGGTGTTGTTGACAAGAATATTCTAAAAATGATTTTCACAGCATTGAAATCTTTTCCTAGTTCGCATTTTAGATTTCTTAGTTTCGATGGGAGATTAGAGGAAGTCGCCTCTTAAAAGTTTCTTCCAAAGTGAAATGAAATACATTTTTAACTTCATGGGATTCACTGTTTCCAGCATAAATGTGAATTGAGTTTTTTAAACAGTCACAGAATGTGACCAAGAATTCACCCGAATTCTTTTATTCATTATTGATATTCAGCAGAAATTCATTTTAGTGTTTCTACCCTCTTTTTCTTCTCCAGACATTCTATTAAGTAAAATTGGTACTTAAGTAATTAAGTAATTATAAATGACACTCATAGTTTCAGTGATGTTAGTGAGAATTCTGTACTGGGAGAGGCTACAGTGTATGGCATCTTAGGTTGGCAGTCTTTATTATTAGCAATTTTGTTATACTTATATCCAAAAAATACGTGTATACATTTTACATGCACACGTATGTGAATATGCTCTATCATGTATATTATGTATGTGTATATATGAGGTAACAAATAAGTTTTTGAAAATGATGTGTAAGAAAATTAATTACCAGGCTTCGTTCTGAAGTATTTTTAGATTATTTCAGCTTTTAATTTTCTATTATAATAAAAATTTGTATAAACCACACAGATAGATTTTACCTTACTGTCCACAGATTTAAAATCCTTTTTGACGGTGGTTGGGCTGAAGAAATCATTATACCTTTTAAAAGAAATGTTGAATTATGTTTTAAAATACAGTTGCTGGTAAATCTGCAGACTGCATATTCTCAAAGGCCATAATATTTATTGCAGGCGAACTCTGAACTTGGGGGAATTTGGTCAGTAGGACAGAGAATCTGGCAGAGAGATTTCCCTGGGATCTATTCGACCATCAACGCACACCAGTGGTCTGAGACGGTCCAGCCGATCATGGAAGCACTTAGAGGTAGTGTTTCTTTGTGCTTAAAAATTAAATTAGGCCTGTTCTCTAAGTGCTGTAATGTTGAAGTCAGTCAGTTTTTTTTTAAAAATAGATCTAATTTAAAAAGAAAAAAAAAGTTACTTTCTGCTAGGTGAGTGGGGCAGCTTTCAAAATTCTTTTGGAAGGATTTGCTGTAACCACGTGTCTTCATTGGGTCTTGCTTGAAATTATATCGGCGGCCAAGGGATTCGCTCGCTGTCTCTTTAATTTAATTCTAAATTGAAAGTGCTCTTGTCAGTAGGAAGATTTTTGATACGAAAATGAAATCTTAGAACACTCTAAGAAGCCCAAGCTGTGGGGTGGTTAAGGTCTTAAACCCCAGGTGTTTGAAAGTGGAGACAATGCTTTGGAGGTTGTCGACCTCAGCCTTTGGTAGGGTTTGTCTTTAGCTTCTGGGTTTGTAATTCAGCAGTTCAGTACATAGATGCTCAAATGGTTTTCAAATTGCTTTGAAAGATTACAAGTCCGTGTGACATGGCGCTGATCCTACGATGCAACTGGACCCTGCCTGTCTGTTCTCCCACCCCGGACACCTGACCGTCTGTCCCAGTCTTGCTGGTTCACTCTTACAGATTCACACAGCAATCTCTTAATGCGGTTACCTGGTTTCTGTAGGTAACACCTGCCTCCGCTCCCTGCCTGCCTTCTCTGGAGGAGTCAGCGAGCAGGGGTTTTTGAATAACTAACTGCCCATCCGTCTGTCAAGGGATAGCGCCTTCTCAGGGGAGCAGGAGGTGAAGGTTGCTTCTGAGACAGACCTGATTTCTCTTGGAAAGGCAGAGCCGCATAAGCGTAAAACAGAACAAGGTCAGGGATTGCACAGGAGGCACTTCCTTTAAATATGAAGGAAGTGAGCAGGACCGTAGGCTCGCAGGTGGGAGGGAGGCGTGCGGTACGAGGTCGCCCAGGGACAGCAGGGGCAGGTTCGGATGCTCCCACAGGGAAACCGCCTCAGCTTCTTCGTGTGAGTCCGGAGGAGGCCTCGGTGTGGTGGTGGACTTTCTCGGAGGATCTGGCTCAGTCTTAGGGCCGCGGTGTGAGGGCCCAGGCCGCATGCCATGTCCCCACGGTCTGCGGCGGGTTCCTTGGCGGGACCAGGGCTCGGCTCTCCTGTCGCATCAGGCAGACGTCCCCCCTGTGCCTGCGGTGGGTGTTCGGTGTTTCTTCCTGGTGCCGCCTCTGCCCCCGGCCCCACTGCATTAAGTAGGCCTTGAAGGCGTCCGGCAGGCCCCTGCGAGGCTGTGTAGCAGAACGTGGTGGGGGGTTGGAGTCCGCAGCCCTAGTTCTGGAGTTCAGGTCTCGGTGCCGTCACTCGAGTGACCCCTCAGTACCTCATTTTTCTCATTTGTAAAGCGGGATCGTAAATAGTACTTGCCTTGGGGGGTTGTAAGTGAATTAATATGTATAAGCACCTAAGTATACTTACTTAACACGGATAAGCAGTCTTGTGTTCACCCGCAATATTTTTGGACCTATCCTAAGAATTTTACAAATCCCCAGGTTCACGAACGGTACTGGATTTGCCGTCATAAAATGCAGCCTGGTGAAGGAAGTCTCTTCACAGATTTGAATTACCGCTAAATTTAATATTTTGCATTTTAATGTGTTACAAGCTTTCTGTTTTCTGGATTGTTCTAAGAACAGTGACTTTCTCCAATCTCTCCCTTTTCTGTTCTGAGTTAGTCACAGTCTTAGAAGGTTGAAAAGCATTCAACTAAAGACAAGCTAGTGAAGGAGCCGGCCTTCTAGTTTTTTAATGGCAACCAGCGCCGGTGAAGCACCCAGGGGCTCCCTGTGGGCCCTTCCTCCACGGGGCCCAGAGGGAGAGAGTGAGGGACCCACACTCCTGGAGCCACAGGAAAGGGGCTGCCCCCGGGAGCTGTGGCTCCGCCAGAGCGAGGCCGGGAGGGCGCGGAGGACACGCATTCACCGGACCCGTGACCCATCCACGAGCAGGCTGTGCGGGTCCCCTGGGCCGTGGTGTCCAGCCCCCCCCCCCCCCCCCCCCCCCCCCCCGAATGGAAGGGCAGAGGTGGATTAGAAAGTGCGGGACCGCTAGCCCAGCCTCTCTCCGTGTCCAGCGCTAGCTGTTGGCGGGTGGGGGTAGATAATGCACACTTGTAGGTGCCGTCCACACGACAGATGAGCGCTCTGTCAGCATCTCCCAGGGCTTCCGCCCGTGCTGAACGGCCGCAGGCATTAGGTGCTGGCTCCGTTTATATTCCACCTTCTCACGTGTGGTTCTAATGCCCGCCCATAGGAGCCGACACATTTCCCAGGTCTTAAGGGTGGCATGGTGACGAGTGGAATGGCCCTGGGTGAAAGCAGCCCGAGGTGTGTGGCCTCTGACCGACCCTGTGGGACCCCGCCTGGCTTTTCGCTTCCTCTGCCAGCCCGCACCCTCTGTGCTGCCCTCCCCTTTGCCAGGCCTGCCTCAGTTTCTCTCCTCTCCGGCTCTCTCCCACACCATCCTTGTTCTCCTCCCCATCTTTCTCCGCTCAGTTCTAAGCATCTGACCAGGGGGCTTGAACTGAAGTTAATATTTTTAAAATATGGTCTGTTTGTTTACCAGGCAGGTATAATTTCTGGTGGACACTTGGATTTCCCTTTCTGTTGTTGCTTGTGGCAGCTCTCTCTTATTGAGTGCCTGTGGCCTTCAGTAGGGAAGGATCCCCCATCTCTGACGCGGGTTCAAGCCCGACGTGCGGTCAGGTGCAGAGCCGGCCGGTAGGAGGAAGGAAGGAGCGGGCTGAAGGTGCCGGCAGAGGAGCACGCACGGGCTCAGGGGAGCGGAGAGGATGTCAGGCTCAGTGAGAGGTGGAGGAGCGCGATGGGTGTCAGCAGTTTTTAAGAAGTACGAGAGAACAGGGCCCAAGCCTGGGTCCCGGTGGTAGAGTCAACAGGCGTGTACTTAGCGCACCCTTAGAGAGGGTGGGCACTCCGGGGGCGGGTGGAAAGATAAGAACAGCAGCCCTCCTCCTGTAGGGAGTTAGGGCATAATTGAGGTGATGGGAGTGTGGATGAGTGGGGTGAGCAGTGCTGTGCATTTAGAGAAGAGCAGAGATGGCCGTGAACCCGAGTGCTGCAGGCAGAGTTTGTAAACAGACCTAGGAGTCCGAGCGGAAACCACATGACAGCGTGAACCCAAAGGCCGAGACAAGAGAGGTGTGAGGCTCGTCTGGGAGCTGGGGGGCGAAGTGCAAGGGGTGTCTGAGCAGCTTGGTGCAGTCGTCGGGCGATGTCCCAGGAATGGAGAGGATGTCGCTGTGTCGTGGGGCCGTGAGGAACGTACGCCCCTGCCTGTTGAATGTGGACAGTAACATGCAGAGTATTTGTCCGCACGCTGACCGCCAGGTGGGGGAGCCCTTGCGTCGCCGAGGCAGCCATGGGTGGAAGCCAGGCTGGCCGGACTGCACCTCCTAACCTGCAACCATCCACTCTTCTCTGCCTCATTTCTGAGACATGGAATGTGGGAATTGAAGCCTGGGGAGGTCCCACCCGTCACCTCCAGGGGAGTGGCGGGGGGGGGTGTTGCTGGAATTGTTGGCAGCCCCCCTGTTAGGCTCAGCCATTCAGGACTGGACCCTAGGATCTGAGCCCAAATTAAGTCAAGAGTTTAGAGCGGACTTGAAAGTTAGGAAGTGTCAAAGGACAAAACTTCAGCTGAGCAAATCTGCAGACCTAACTGGCATTTCTAAGCAGACCTTGTCGGGCCACATTCCATCTAGCAAGTAGAGGGGACTTGGAGGCTCCATACACAATGGTAGGAAGGAACTTGGGGCAGGGAAGGTGTTAGCAAAAGAAAAAGAAGGATTGTTTCCCTCAGGCCATCTTCCCTTAAGGGTAGAGCAGGGATGGAGAGGGTCCCTGTGGCAGATTAACTCTCCCGCGCCCATCAGAAAATCCCTGACTTAGCGGTTAGGATTACTTCTAGCGGAGATTGAAGCCGTGTCAGGTATTGAGTACAGTTTGTTGGCCTGGCGTTTGGGGCCTGTGGTTTTCTTTTGAACAGAAGAGTGCTGTAGTTATACGGTTTGTCTGAAATTCCTAGGTGTGATCCTGTAATAGAGAGCCTCCTAAGAAAGGACAGCTAATTACTGAAGTAGATAATTTCTGCCCCATTCATTCCAGTCTTAAGTTTTTAAGTGGGATTAAAAGAGGTTCAAAAAAATTGTATACCGAGTACATAAACATATTTAAATGAAGTTTTCTTGGAGTTTGGGTCTTCTATTTATTAACTTTTTCCTCCTGGGCCATTTTTATTGTACCCTGAGAGAGATTTGCTGTCTAAGAGGAAGCACAAGAAGATGATTTGTTTATTCGGCAATACCTGAGCGCGTCTTACACGCCAGGCACGTGGATCTATAAGCGTAGAAACCTTTGGGTTGATCTAGTCTTGCTGATAAAGTTGGACAAGGACAGTGACGTAACTTAATTACTAAAAAAGCCAGTTCTCTTGGTTCACTGTGTTGTGTCGCCCTCCACCCCCGCCGTAGATGCCACACGGAGAAGAGCCTTCGCCCTGGTCTCTCAAGCCTACACCTCCATCATCGCCGACGACTTTGCAGCCTTTGTGGGGCTCCCGGTGGAAGAGGCCGTGAAAGGTATGGGACTTGCTGCTTACTTTCAGCAAAAGCGAAAGTGTAAGTTACTACGGCAGGTATGCTTTTGAGATGTAGGTGGTGTTTGTCCTTTGGGAAGGCGATCTGGAACCCGCACGGTCCCACAGCCACAGCGGGGGCTTGGGCAGGAGGCGGCCTGGAGCCCCACCCCCAGGAGCCCTGCAGTGGCTCCGCGTGAGTGTCCACGTGGCCATGAGGGGAGGTCGTGCGGTTGTGTGTGGACCCATTTTGCGCGGCCGCTGTCACCACCTGATGAGTTAAAGAAACAACGTTTTAGTCTGCAGAGTTTTTGGATTTCCGGGTGTGGATGAGAGATTTCGTGTTCCTGCTCACTTTCAAAGCACTTTTTGCCGGAGGTAGTTAGTGTCACCTTAGAACGAGAGGTCTGCGAAGGACAACTTTGCCGTTGTTGGAAGCGGGCGTTTGGCGGTGTCGGTGAGGTGTGCCGTCCTTGCACGTGGCCGTTCTAGCTCTTGCTGGGGGCCTCTTGGATGTTCCCGTGGCCACTTTTTACCCTGGTTCCCAGGGCTGGATCCCCGAATGTTTTCTGCTTTTAGTTCTAAGAGGTTCGATCAAAACCTGAGTTAACGGTGGGCCTGTGAACTGGTGATGTGTCCTCCCAGGCTGATGCCCGGGAAGGGAAGCTCGGAGCCACTGTGCGCTGAGCGTGGGAGGGGCGGGGGGAGGGGAGGTGTGGGAACAGAGTTACTGGAAGACGCTGTCCGAGGGTGAGGAGGAAGGCGCCCGACACAGCCCCGCATCCACTCAGATCACATAAGTTCTCTCGAGCAGTGGGAAACGTTCACGGGATGTAAGAAAGTAAAGTTGCCTAAGTATGCCGGGAGAGTAGCATTATGTTAGTAATTCTGAGCTTAAACTCTGTAATCTCTTTAAATTATCTCTTTTCCTCTGAAAGTCAACATGTTGATATATGTATTTTTTTACGAAAATAATTTTAATTGCCCTCCCAACACACATTTGGAAACCCCTCCTCGCTGTCTCTCACCAGTACCTCCCCTCCCTTCCGGCCCCCAGACATGCTTTTGCATTTTCATTCCCCAGGTCATCCCCAGACCAGCTCCTCCCCTCGGTGGATCGCTGTAGAATGTTGTACACGGCCCGTAGCATTGTTTTCCCGTGATTGACATTTTTGAGTCTCCGACCGAAACAGAAATTCCATTGAGTCCACAGCTTGTTCCTAAATTTCCAAAGCCTGCCACAATTTGAGTCACATAGGAGGCAGCTTGATGAGAGCTGTTGTGGCAAATCATACTGTTACTTACTCACAAACGTTTGTTTTGACTTCTTGAAATTGATCCGTAGCTTATCACATAATAAAGAACATACATACCCCAGAGCCCAGATCTTAAGTGACTGCCTGAGTGTGAGTCCGGGTTCCCTCCTTCCAGCCCCCTGCTAACCGTCTGGGCTGGGACGCGTCGGTGGAATTCAGACTTCATTTTCCACGTCAGTTGAGTGTGGCCCTGTGTCCCCCTGTGTAGAGTGATGTGATGATTGCCTGCAGTGACCCCCGTGCAGCAGTGCCCTCTGGCCAGCACCGCGTGTGAGCTGTTGTGTCCGTCGTTGGCAACGTCTTTGTTATTATCGGTGCAGGGATGGCAGGCCGTCCTGTCTGTGCCCCTCAGGTCTGCTTTTAGTCACGCTGACTAGGTTCACGCTTGGAACACACACTTTACGGAAGATGGGTCATCTGTTAAGGGTTGTGTCAGTCTGACAGAGTAAAATGAGGTTGGATACAGGTTTAGAAATATTTAAAAAATAAGCTGACCGGAGAATGTTGTCTCTACCACACTTTTCTAGTAGAAATACACATTACAGGGTAAACTGCACTGGTCACACCTTCCATACGAGTAGTGTCACGGACAGATGGTGGATCTTAAATGTGAAATTATGGGGGTTTCGTGGTCATTTCTTCATCTGTGTGTTAAATACGTGTTTTTAGGTATATTAGAACAAGGATGGCAAGCCGACTCCACCACAAGGATGGTTATGCCCAAAAAGCCAGGTAGGTGGGGCTCCTCATCCGTGGGTGCAGCTCATGAAACTGCGCCAGGGTCTTGGGCGCTGGGTTTGGGTAATGTGATGGAACGTTCTGGACTGACAAAGTGAAAGTGACTCGGGATCAGTACAGATACAGACTGACAGACACTTGTGGTAGAAAGGATCTTAAAGATACCTCGTTTTACCTGAATTTTTGAACGTGTATTTCTTGTGTAAAAGACTATTTTATACGGGCTTTTTATAATCCTTATTACAACTTAATTTTCACTAGTGTTAATCTCCCATCCTTTTATTTATGGGGCCATTTCTTTCTTTTTCTTTTAATTTTTTTTTAATGTTTATTTTTGAGGGAGAGAGAGCGCACAAGTGGGGGAGGGGCGGGGGGGGGGGACACAGAATCGGAAGCAGGCTCCACGCTCCAGGTTGTCAGCACAGAGCCCGACACGGGCCTCGAACTCGTGAACTATGAGATCATGACCTGAGCCGAAGTCGAACGCTTAACTGACCAAGCGACCCAGGATGGGCTACTTCTGTGTTTATCCTTAATATCAAAACTGTTGCTTTTTTTAAAAAATATTTAAAAATATTTTAGGAATATTTTCTCCTTGTACTGTAGACATGTAAACTCTTCTCCGATACGAGACTTTCAGTGGCTTCAGTGTTCACGAAATTAAGCTCTTTGGCTTTCTAAGGCTTAAATTATTTGACCTGGCCTCGCGGTCCCCATCTGAATTGCAGTCCTGCAGTCTTCTTCTGAAGTGAGCCGTGCTCATTCCTGCTTGGAGGTCTCTCTTGTGCTTAGCAGGACTGGCCTTTTCTCCCACGTCTTTCGAGCCAGCCTGCATGCCCACATCCATACAGCCTTCTACTTCAACCCAAAGTTCCTTCTACCTGCTCTGAATTCCTGTTGTTTAGACATTGTTGACCTGACCGTAAAGAATTACTCAAATTTTGGTGGGTTCTGCCCCGTGAAGGTGCAGGAAGTGGTGAGACATGGTCCCAGCGAGTCTAGATGCTGGAGAAACCGCCATAATAAAAAGAGTCGTGTGATCGAATAGAGCATTATTGTTAACTCTGTTAGAGAAGAATTAAATGGCCATAAGTGCCATCGCATGCATTAAAAATGATGTGTTCTGTGTGAAAGTTCTTGCCGGCAACTTGTGTAAATTCAGTTGTTACTTTTAGTTGCAGGGGCCCTGGATGTTTCCTTCAACCGGTTTATTCCCCTATCAGGTATGTATCTTTTATGCTCATTTAAAACATGTTTCATTGTTTCTTTTCTGTCGTGTTTCTTTTCTGTCGTGTTTCTTTTCTGTCGTGTTTCTTTTCTGTCGTGTTTCTTTTCTGTCGTGTTTCTTTTCTGTCGTGTGTATCTGTTTTTCTTAGCTCTAACCTTGTAAAGGAAGAGATTAAATTCTGCACTTGCTATTTATAATAACATATTTGGTTACAAGCAAGACCAGGTGGGTTCTCCTATGTGGCTGACGTTGAGGCCGTGGCACCTCCTGACACAGCGCCTCCTTGATGTCGCGTAGGGAAGCCGTGGTAGAGCTCCTCCCAAGCGCCTACTCGGACGTCATCCCTAGGCTGGCGTGCACTAACTTAAAAGCTGGCACTAAACTCCTTGACGATGGGGTTCCTTGTGGGGCTTTTTTGTTCACTGACAGCCGAATATCCTAGAGCAGTGCCTGGCACACAGTGAGCCCTTGGTAATTATTCACCAGACTTCGTGTCACATGGGCGGGTGTCTTTCCAAGAAGAGCTGTGTTCTCTTAAGAGAGATGTGGTGGGGCACCTGGGTGGCTCAGTCAGTTGGGCGACCGACTTCGGCTCAGGTCACGATCTCACGGTTTGTGACTTTGAGCCCCACGTCGGGCTCTGTGCTGACAGTTCGGAGCCTGGAGCCTGCTTCGGATTCTGTGTCTCCCCCTCTCTCTGCCCCTCCTCTGCTCACACTCGTGTCTCTCTGTCTCTCAGTCATAAACGTTAAAACATCTTATAAAGAAAAAGAGAGATGTTGCATGTTAACATGGGAAGTTCAACAAAGCCTCACGTGCCTTTACTCCCAGTTTAGGAGAACCACTCCTGAGACTTGAGACTTCTTGGCTTATTTTTCAAAAATGTCCGAAATCAGTAACAAAGTTTCCGTTGGAGCCGTGGGTGGTGGGGCCAAGGCACTATTCCTCGGGTGTCTGACCGTCTGTCTCTCTCTCTTTCTCCTTCGCGTGCGCAGAACCCACCCCAGTCCCGCCCATCCCCAACGAGCAGCAGTTAGCCAGACTGACCGACTACGTGGCTTTCCTCGAAAACTGATGCGTCATTCTGAGTTCAAGATCCACCTCCAGAATCCTGTATACTGACAAATAGAGAAATGTAAAATTTTTATTTTCAACCTATTGGCTGGATTAGCACCTCGGCATTCCTTGCGGAGTATGTGATAAAATACATATATAAAGTATATATTATATATTTTGTCCTTAAACATTATGCTGAATAGTTGTTGAAACGATTCTTGTTTTGTAACATTTGACAATTTGGATGGAGCCCGTCAGTATTACGCAGTTTATATTTCCTCGTGACTCCTGAAACCCGGCCGCCCGGCTTCCCGTGGGACGGCGCCTGTCAGCCGTTTGTCCCTGCGCGGCACGCGGCACAGCCCCGTCCGCAGCGAGGGTTGACACTTAATAGCGACGCGCGTGGGAGCTGAGGAGCGGCCGGGGGTCCCGAGCCCCCCCCCCCCCCGTCAGAGGACGTGCTCCCCTTCTCCCCAGCCCCGAGGACCACACCCCGAGTGCTGACGCGTGGCGGAGGAGGAAAGGCCGTGTCCTCAGCCGGCAGAGCGTGAGCTCCTGGGGGTGTCAGCACACCCGCTGCCCGCGCTGTGAGGGCTCGCCGTGAAAACGCGACTATCGGAGACCTTCAGGAGCGCGAGCCGTCGCAGTCCTTTCTCGGGAAGGGGAGCGTAGGGCGAGAGGCGTTGTCCTGGCAAAGACGTTCTCACGACGAGTGATCCGCTTTGTGCCGCCAGCACCCTGCAGCCACGGTTGCGTGCACCCGTCCTTCGCTTCGAGTTCCGCCTTTTGGAGAAATACTGAACGAGTCTCTCAGTTTTTGTGCGATGGCCTCTGACTGTTTGGAGGTGTTTCGTGTGTCTTCAGGCTAACACCCCCCCCCTTCATTTATTCTGCATTTGTTCAATAAATATTTAATTGAATTCAGCTGTGTCACCTGAGATCGTTTCTGGAAATTTCCCCATCCTGGTCTTTCTGTGGATACGTTCTGGTTTGTCACTGGCTCTCGAGATAGGAATTTCTTCGTTAAATACAAATGACCTGTATGGTAGTGAGCACGTCATTCATGTTTTCACCCGCTTTAAACCCATTTTTCAGTTACTGTTAGCATTTATGGAAATACTTTTCAAATTAACGTTTTATTTAACTCGGATGTAGAAGTCATGTTAAAAACCGCCTTGTCTTACAGCTGCAGAAGTGGAAATTCGAGAAGCAGGAGGGTCGATAGGTGGCCAGCGATGACTCCGTTTTTGAATTTGCCGGTATCAAGTGCACGTTGTCTCCGCGGGCCTTATTCTTAACGGACTGGAGTCAACCGAGTGTTCACCGATGGGGACTCGCCGTAAATGGGGCTGTGCAGGGCGGTGCCGTGCAGCTCTCGAAGCGTCAACGACCGAGGGAAGACCTCCGTGTGCTGAAACACAGTCCTCTCCAGAATGGCCCCTTGGAAAGGAGGAGGACTTTCTACTGTTGCCTTGAGGGTGAGAAAGGGCCAGTGGACACAAGCGTGCATACGTGCGTACTTAACGTTTCGAAAAAACAATCGAAGGTTAAACCAAAAACTAGTGAAGCTGATTCCCTGAAGGGGAAGAGGACGTCTGTGGACTTCATGTAGCACAACAGTGATTATTTCAAGTGACTCAATCACCGTGTTTTGAGTCTGGGTTGTCATGGCCCCTGCACTAAGGACACAGAGCCCTCAGGCTACTGAGTATGGTTTTATGGTTTCATGGTTTCATAGTTTTCAAAAAACTATCTTGATGTTTTCACCATTATTAAAAGTATATTTCAGGGTAAGAAAACTTAGAAATTAGGTAATCTTGTTAGAACCCAGTAATCTTAAATTTCAGTAAGAAACCTTAAATGATGTTTCTTTCTAAAGAAGAAACAGTTCCTGGCTCTGTCCAACTAAAAAGGCCTGGAATAATCATAGCCCAGCACCAGTGAGAACCAGTAAGGCTGAGATAGTGGTCTCCGAACTCCATTCTCAACTAAGCAGAAGCAGAACTTACTTTCAAAGTAGGTGCTAGTCTGGGGCAGTAATTGTATGAGTTGGTCCCCAGGACAGGACGTCCTAGGATCAGGAATGTTTTCGGAGTCTAATGCGGTTTTTTTAAGTTTGAACATGAGACCAGCTGAACATGAGACAAATTGAGCATGAAAAATTTGCTTATGTGTTTTATATTTTTAATCCCAAGTTCATAATTCTAGTACTAAGATGACCTCATCATGGTACAATAAAGTCAGGACAAGTGCCTGAATCAGCCTCTCCCGTATTTATTTATGAGTCTTCAGAATAATGAAGTGATGCCCTAGTGATATCCAAAGTAACAAAATGGAACCACCGAAGGAATCAAACGCATGATGATGGAAAATTCTTTATAGAAGGATTCCACCTAGTAAGTGGAGATAGAATTCGAAAACCAGTGCTAAAGGATCTAGGAAAGCAACGTCATTGGCTGCTGAGACCACGGGGCCGAGAATATGAGACCGAGCATAAAATAAGGCCCCACGCGCATCCGCCCGTCTCTGTGCTCTGGCTGCTGCCAAGACCGCCAGCTGCGTGCGGGTGTGGCCTGACGGCACCTTGTGTACATCCACAAATGTATCTACCTCTGTTGCTCTGGGACTCCCCGGACGGTGCCGCAGCAGTCAACAACACAAACCTGGGTGAGGGGGAGTTAGCCTCCGCAGCACCCCTGCAACAGATGGGTTAGAACAGATCCAGCGAGTACCACTGCCCTCAGTGTCTTGGGAGGACAGCTCCAGGGTACAGTCTGTGCCTGGCTCCGGAAGAAAGAGCCCAGAGAGACCCCATTGTGACCAGTCTGCAGTGGCATACGCAGGTTGCTGGTTCCTCCTCCCTTGTTTCTCTCTTCCCAGTTCTACGCCCCCCCCCCCACCCCGCTGCTGTTTCCTGGGTGGAGAGAAGGGGTCTGTCTGCATGTAACTTGAAGGTACCTCAGTCCATCCTTTCTTAACATCGCCAGCAGGCACCAGGAGCCTGCCGGGGTGTCGTGGTACAGCATCGACCATGACTTCATGGTTTGCCATGTTTCTGCCAAAACAAACTCCCCTCCCCAGAACGAACGGGAATCTAATCACAGTTGTAGCCTCAACTGCCCCTTTCCATGAAATGTGGATATTAGATGAACAAATTAAACGCCCCACCAGGAAGCAATCAGCCAGATCTAGAGCATGGGGGATTTAACAGGACCAAAAAGTGAGTTTACTTGCGAAATAAATGACCCGAAAAGGGAGGGTGGTAGAGACAGCAACAAGTACAGATTTCTGCCCCGCGCTGGCATGCTGGGACGCGGACTCCGGTTGTGCCAAGAACTGTGGACAGATGTCTGCGTGTGAAGAAACCTGCCCGAGGGCATCACAGAGCTCCTGAAGAAATGAGGCTGCAGGGGCTCAGCTCTGAGCGAGCAGGGAACCGCCTTCTGCAGGCGTTTGCTGGTCGGGGCAGGGTCCCCTACTAGGGGGCCTCCAACCCAGGGGTCTGGGCATTGGAGAGGGCTCTCTCTTAATTCCCCTTTCATGTGACCTAACATAGTCACGGGTGTCAGGGAGTAGGATATGCACACCTTTGGGGACCATTGTTCTCAACCACTATGGGGATCAGTCCCGTAGGCAACAGGAATGTATAATTCTAACTCCATAACCTAAATCTAAAATGCCATGTAATCAAAAGTTGGCAACTGAGAGTCACTAGCCCTACCAAGACATTAAACCATAATCTAGGGGCACCTGGGTGGCTCCGTTGGTTAAGTGTCTCTTGATTTCAGCTCAGGTCATGATCTCCCAGTTGGTGAGATCGAGCCCCACATCGGGCTCTGCTCACAGCACGAAGCCTGCTTGGGATTCTCTCTCCCTCCCTCCCTCTCTCTGCCCCTCCCCTGCTCGTGTGCATGCACTCACTCTCTCAAAATAAACTTTAAAAATATTAAAAAATAAAACGTAATCTAAAACTTCTTATTAAAACCGCACAACAGTAGAGCATGAATAGTATGTAGCCCAGCGGAATAAATTAGGTGAGAACTAGACCAAATAAATGCAGAAATGTACCATATGGTAAGGATGGCATCTCAGATCACTGGCGTAAAGGTGGACTTCTTAAAAATATTTTTATTTATTTTTGAGAGAGCGCGCACGTGCACATGCGCACAAGAGCAGGGGAGGGGCAGAGAGAGGGTGACAGAATCCGAAGGAGGCTCTGCACTGACAAGAGAACCGACAAGGGGCTCGAACTCATGAACCTTGAGATCATGACCTGAGCTGAAGTCAGGTGCTTAACCGACTGAGCCCCCCCGGGCGCCCAAGGTGGACTTTTTAATAAATGGCTCTGGGAAAATTGGCTAGCCATTTGGAAAAATAAATCCATTAGAATAAAATCCAGATAGATCAGAGATCTTAATGTAGAAGAATGACCCCCGTGCCAGCACTGGAGGAAAAACAGGGGACTTCCTTTGTGACCGGGGTGAAGGAAGGGTTTTGGTGTCTCTAAATTCTGACTCGTTAGAAGAGTGATCAATTCGACTACTTAAAAATGTTGCAAAGTACAAAGACATCTGAACAGAAACAGAAACCAGACGTGAATATAGAGAACAAACTGGGGGTTGCCGGAAGGGAGGGGTGTGGGGATGCGGGGTGTGGAAGGGCTGAAGGGGCTGACGAAGCACAAACTTGCAGTTATTAATAAGTCCTGGAGATGAAGAGTAGAGCACGGGGAGCAGGGTCGGCAGTATGGTGACAACATGTGGGGACAGATGGGGCCACGCTCATCATAATGAGCCCTGAGTACAAGAACTGTCAGGTTGTACCCCCAAGACTAATAGAACCTTGCATGTCAACTGTACCTCAATTAAAAATTTTCAGGGGCGCCTGGGTGGCGCAGTCGGTTAAGCGTCCGACTTCAGCCAGGTCACGATCTCGCGGTCCGTGAGTTCGAGCCCCGCGTCGGGCTCTGGGCTGATGGCTCAGAGCCTGGAGCCTGTTTCCGATTCTGTGTCTCCCTCT